CATATCACATAAATTATGACAAAGTGACCAGTATTGTTGGTTATTTGAAAGTTATATAAAAATATTATAAATCACAATAATTAATAACTTCAAACATTTAAAAAAAATATATGAAAATTTGGATGACTCTCCAAATTTCATTTGTGTCACATAAATTGAGACAACAAAAATAACATATATTGGGTCCATTTTAATTTATTTGTCTTATTTTTATTTTTTTTTATATTTAAAAATTGCGTAAAAATACTATAAATCATGATAATTGACAACATAAAATATTTCAAAAATGTTGTATGTGGGTAGTCTTATTATGCTTTAAATAGCGTCAAAGAAAGTACAGCTTTCTGATAAAAAAACTTATTCCTTTATCCACGCAAACAATCGCTTTAAAAACTCGGTTATTAGCCCTAAAACATACCATTTATATTATTGGCACGGGCCACATTATCTAGTATATATATATATAAAGGAGGACTATATCTCACGTCCATAACTAAAATATTTACTCCAATCCGTGTCAATTCCGTGTCTGGGCTTTTCCTTCATTCCAACAACTTTTCGTCAGACTTGTAATAAAATAATTAAAATAATAATTATAAAGGCTAAAATTAAACAGAATTTGAAAACTTAATTATTTATTAAGCATTATTGGATAGATAAATACAAGACCACATGTAGTTTGTACAAGTCTTATTCACTCCGTCTCAAATTATCTGTCATATTCTCTTTTACACGTCTCTGAAGAAAAGCTTAGTTATGATGAATTTTGACTATATATCTAACCTTTATTTATGTCTTGAGATATAATCTTTATGCACTTGTCATAATTGAGATGACTATTTATAAAATCTACGTCAGATAATTTAAGAAGGAGAAAGTAATATAAAAGACCAAGAAATAAGTTCGGTTAACAACGGTAGATTTCCATGGTTCACTTATGCCTATCAACTTTAGCTAATTCAGAGTTCACCTCAACAAGTTACAATATATATATATAAAAGTTGTCATTCTAAATGTATTTTTACCCTTTCAAATTTGATCCAAAATAAGTTGTAGAAAATCAAGAAAGCACTAATAACTACCCTCTAAAAAAAGTATCATTACTCTAATAAATAACCTAAAATTTCTTAGATAATAATAATTAACTGTACAAAAATCTTAAAAGACAAATAATATAAACGGGAGAAAGTGATGTTTGTTGGGACCGAATTGTAACAGTGGATTTTTGTCTTCTCTACTTTGATTCTTTTTTTCCTAAAAGAGAGAAGGAAAAAGGTTAAAGAAGTTACTAATCAAGAAAAGATACTAAGTGGTTAGTCAATTTTACAAAGATTTGGGTATCAATAAAGTTTGGGCATACTACAGCAAAGTATATAGTATTAAAAGGCACTTCCTTTATGTGTGCTCAGTAAATAATGATTTAATTGTTATTTTATAAATTTAAGATATTATTAATTATTACTACTTTTTATTTTTTGCATTTTTCCATTTATTTAATAAACATGGAGATAAATTAATATGGTAATAAGAAATAATAGTAAGGATAATTTAGAGGAAATAGAATATCTTAATT